CTTGAGGGCTATACATGTATTTGCATCTGATAATATGGAAATCATATTGTTTTTGACCTATAGCTTAAACCACTATTAAAGTGACTCGGTAACATCGTTGAAGGTTGATTGAAAAATTGCGTAATTTTTGTATGAAATGTTACTTATCTTCCTTCTACTGTACTAACCCTCTCACATGAAATCCTTAAGAAGAAAAAATCTCAAACCACAAAGATATATATGTATGGTTCTCTAAGAAGGCGTCACTGTGCAACACCCTCTAACAGTGATTAACAGTAAATTCTCCCAACCATTTTTGAACTTTCCAAACCGTTTTTCCATTAAAAAAAATAAGACAAAAGACAGGCTTTTAACAATCTTTCAACACCTAAATCTCTGGACCGGTATACAGAGCCAATTCATTGCCTTGTGACGATTTACATTCACCTAAAATGTAATTAAATTGTAATAATACAGTTGGGAGAATTAAGATATTTATCAGATCACTTTTCCCCAATTTTTATCGTAAATAATAGTTTGTTTTCACTCCAACTTTCAGATTATCTTTAATTGTACATCTAGCATTGAAGTCACTACCTTAACACCATTTTCTCTCATCTTTACAATGTTACAAAATCCCTTTAAAAATAAACTTGAGTTCTGGTTTAAAAAAAAAATTCTCATAGAATCAAATAAAACTTACTCTGAATGTTCAAGATTACAAATAAATGTCATTTGCCAAACAATGTTGGTAGAAAATGTATACTGGCTGAGTAATGATCATAATAAGATAAGGAAATCAAGGTAGGTAACCCCGACACCATTTGTGTAGTCCCATATACATCTTTCTGTGTACAGTGCTTATTACTTTACCAAGGCTGTGCCTAATTTATTATGATTTTGATGACTCAAGAACCTTGCAGTACACACCGATATTTACATGCTACATGATCAATTTTTTAATTTTTTTTTAAAGTCAGCCTTTTCCTTCTTAAATGGGGTTACTGATATTCGCAGCTTGTGATGACACTCCCTCCCTCCACTTCTTCTCGTTTTGAGCATCCTCCTCGTTTAGAACAACCTTTCTTTCTTCACTATATCTTTCCATGAAATCATCGGTCTTCATATCCCTGTTATGTCATCCACTTCCAGACCACACGCTCTTTTCACATGTTCATCATCACTACACAGGTATATTCCATCCATCCATGAGTAAAACATAAAAGAAGTCTTTTGAATATGACTGACTTAAGACAGTGATACATGAAAGCACCATTACTATAAATGGTCATATCAATAGATTCTTCATTTTCGGATGACATATGTTTAAAAAAGACATATTGTATGCCATATGAAAACACTTTGCACTGAATCACCCCAATACCACCTGCGGGTGTTTCACAAAGACTATGATCGACTTTAAGTTGGACTTAGCTATGGCAGGTATTCATGCCACTGTTTGCTCTCACCATTATGATATATAGATAATATTTCTCTCTTCAGTAATTATCAAAAAAGTAAATTCTGTAGGTTTGTGACCATCATTTGTACGCCCTTTGAGAAACCAACGATTCCATGACATTTGCTCCGGCGACAATTGCTCCGCTGTAAATTTCATACACTAATCGAATGGCTAACTTCAACCCTGGATTCAACACTATACCCTACCCTAAACCTAACCCTAAACCTAACATAAAACCCTATTGAAACCCTAACCCTAACCCTACATCTTAGACGAAATAAAGCCCGGAGCAATTGTCGCAGGAGCAAATGTCGTGTCACCAAACCAACGCCAGGAATGGTTAGAGGAACTTTAAGTCCCAACTTAAATGGATCTTAGTATTTGTGAAAGACTCCCCTGCACTGCCTTTTGTGTCTCACACAGCCACACCAACTCTAGACTGACAGATTATCATTGTTAAAACTATCTTGGCCATTCTGAATAATGTATCTATCATTGGTCTTACCCTGTGTGACATCATCATTAAAGTAACATACACACACACACACACATACAGGTAAATCGTGCCAAATGGGGATATTTATCTGTAACTATGAAATTGGGGATATTGGAATTTGAGGCGTTTTCATAAAGATTCCTTTTCTTTGATGCACGTAACGCCAGATGAAATAAATACTATCACATTTTGTTAAAGAATGACAAGAATTTAGCCTCCTGTTTTAATGTGAGTTTACTAGGCACTGTTCATTCAACAGAATTTTAAAAATCTCAGATAATACGAAAAGTGGCGCTCAAAAATGTGGCGTCTTGCTATCAAAAATGTGAATGTCTCGGAACTCTTGCAGGAAATGGGTAGTAGTAGACTCCTCTCGGGTCACTTTTACCAAAATTAGGAAAAAATAAGAAAGTTATCAGCTGGGGATATCCAGTTGCCAGTGTATCCCCACTAGGAAGTTAGGTATACATTTGTTTATCCCCGTTTCACTGTACAAACCCACACACACGCTCACTCATGACAGTTTTAAAACCAGTTGATACTAACGGTGGTTTTTGACATGTAGACCTTTAATACAAATTTTCTCATTTATAGGATAATCTGAACAGAAATTATGACACACAGATATGACAAGAGGACATACCCATTTATATCAGCAAAATACATCAGTTCATACAAATCAAATCTTAGATAAATTGATTGTTACTCTTTTTATCTCGTCTATACATCATTTACAGAAGAGAAAAAAGAAGCACAGGTAGAAGTTATAAGCATAATTAGAATAGGAAATACAAAAGAATCAGGAAAAAATAAAGAGAGAGGCATGTTTTGAAAGGCTAATTTCAATTGGATGATTGAAATTTCTGTAGCAGATTACATGAAAAGTAGTTTCTTTTAAACAGCTTCATGTAATCTTTTTGTATTTACATGTAAAGACTTGTCTTTAAATGTGCCCTAAGAATATTGAACTTACTATAAAAATAAATCGAGACAAAAGTAGAAACAGCGTTTATAGGGACAAAAGTTTACAAACCCATCATAATTGAACAAAATTATTCTCCTTTTAATCTGGAAATAAAATAAATTAAGAAATAATATTAACTAGGTCACTGTTAGAAGTACATTTACTTTAAGTTTTTGGAATGAAGTAAAGTACGATGCTACAAGTTTACATGTTATTACGATAATAATATTCTAGTATTTATTTACAAAGAAGAAAAAAAAAACACAGAAGTACTTGTAGTCTTGTACCATGTAACCCAATACACTGAACAAATGAGAAGCTTTCAGTGAACTTGCTCCCTCTATATAGAAAACAATGCCAAGGCGGTGCCCATCGGTCCCTCATGATCCTCTTTTTCATTGTTAATTGAGAAATGATTTGATGAGATAGCCACCTGTCAGTGACCATGCTGGGTGGTCCAATCACTCAAGGCCAAACTAGTGCAGAGGGCCTTTTAAAAGGTTACCAAGTCTTTAGACCCTCCTCCCCCTCTAAAAAAAATAGGGAAATACATTTAGATCAACTGCTTTCCTCTTCCTATTGTCTTGTTAATTTTAAAAAAGAGTAAAACCAAGCCTCGCCACACCAAGGTAGTGTTTAGAATTGAATCATACAAAAAGAGAAATTCTAAAATTTCAAGCTACATTTGTCAAAAATGTCAGAAGCAACATGCTATATTCCTGATACAAAATATAATAGCCAAGTACTTCATCAAATATGTATAGGAAATTTTGAGTGTTTTTAGGACTTGCAATTGATTCTAAAACAATATTTGCTGCAAGAAGAATAATTCAGTGGAGTATTTGACAAATTCCCTGAAAACAGCATTTACTCACATGTATACTGAATACATTGATCTTAAATACATAGCCTCATTCATTGGACCTAACCCACATGGGGCTACACACAAAACCTATTGAAGCCTTTTCTACAAGTTAAGATATGTAGGAGTACAGTCAAACCTGCTTTAGTGACCACCTGTCTACAAAGACCACATTTTTTTGTGTCCCTTGAAATGGTTTCTCATTGAAACATGTACTAAAGGGACCAGTCTACAAAGACCACCTGTTTACAAAGACCACTTTTTGTGTTTCCCTTGAAGTGGTTTCTCATTGAAACATGTACTAAAGGGACCAGTCTACAAAGACCACCTGTTTACAAAGACCACTTTTTTATGTTTCCCTTGAAGTGGTTTCTCACTGAAACATGTACTAAAGGAACCCGTCTACAAAGACCACCTGTCTACAAAGACCACTTTTTGTGTTTCCCTTGGGTGGTCACTATAGACACGTTTGACTGTATAAGCTGGAGAAGCTGGCACATCTTACAAGTGATATCATCCGTTTGTTTGGCAATGCCTATAATAACATCACAAATTGTGTATGTCAGAAAATATAAATTTCCCATGGCATGTGAGCTTTTGACAGAAGCTAGTAGGCAAAAAAATGCCCAAATGCTAGGTCACTGGATTTGATATGACCTTTGACATGAAGGCCCTGTCAAATCTGGCTCACTTCAGTGATAAATAATGGCTTGCGTCAATACCAATCAAATAACTACTGCTTGATTCCATGGTCACAATTAAAAGCTACAATAATGAATATTATATTCCTGAACAGCCTACAGCAAAGCTCGACAAAAGTAGGTGTCAGGCTCACATAGACCCTAACATATACTATACAAGCAGGGGTCAAGGGTACCTGTACCTGGACCCCTAAAATTATGTTCTGGACCCTGAGGAATATATGTTGGGGTGGAGCCTTACCATAAGGTACCATAACTCCAAGCAGTTCCTCATATATGGGAACATTTACCCATTTACCAAAATTAGGCATAAAGAAACTTTGGATAAAATACCTTATCCAGTCATAAGCACTACGGAAGGCATGAACACCTCCAATAATCATCTTGGTATAAAGTAAATTAAAAGGAAAAAGAAAGTACTTTTAACCACTATATTCTTTCTATGACCTCTTGGATTTGCCAGGCTTCCTGACTATTTCTCGGGGCATCTAAAGGCTGAAGCTCGTGTAAGGGCAATAGTGTTTACTATTGCTCGATAAGCTGTTCACATTTGTAGCCTTGTAATCATGATTGCTTTGGGTCACATGGTACAAGGGAAGCTACTTCTGTACAATATATAATGGGCAATATTACAACATTTCGATATGTGGAGTGTTCTGCTTTTATACAACTTCGTACTTGTCCACGAGAAGAGCGACATCTGATGAAAACTTGACTGGCTGGTCACTTTCCACGGATAAAACATCCTCAACCTACATGACAATGAGATTAGAGATGGAAGAGAGAGAGAGAAAGAGAGAGAGAGAGAGAGGAAGCAAGAAAACAGGGAGGAGAGAAGAGAGACAATGGGTACAGAAGGAAAAGAACAAAACATAAGTTAAAACTATGTTTTACTTTAATACTATATCAAAGCTGATGTTAACGATGAATAATGAAGAAAGAACAAAATCATCACGATGTTGATGACGGTGATCATGATGAAAATGAAAGACCTAGGTCTAACTTTCTATGTAAAACCTGACTTAAAACAAGCACTAACCCAGGAGCAGGATTACATTTTAATACAATGCAGGCACAAAAAGGGACACAGGTACTAGGGGACATTACATATCCACCATCGCTTTTCACTCCTTGTGGCCTTGGAGGCAGGTGATAGATAGTCAAGCCCTGGGAAGCAACTCCCCTGGAAATGCAACTGACACCTATGCGGAAGAAGTCATGGCTAATCTGCCATTATCGGTATATCGTCTGTTTGGAGCCAGAAGGGTGTTAAGCCGTATAATTTCAACACAAAGTTAATCCCCTTCTGGCTCTAAACAGACAGTGTTATGTAAGGGCAATAACGTTGGACCTGTCAACTGGACTCCTTTAGAGTCCCGAAGTGTGATGTCATAATGGCCAATTTGTCAAGGTTGCCGATTCCAAACAGTTTTGTGCTGGAAAATGGTGTGATGATCCCACCAGCCGAAACACTGAATTTGCCCTGCTCCAGCATGTTGCTTGGATGATTTTGCGGCAAACCTCATGCACAGGATCTGTTGTTTAGATCCTGTGACCTGGACAATGAGCAGTTATGATGTTAACACTTCTGGGGGGGGGGGTGTTTCACAAAGATCCTAAGTTGAACTTATCTCTAAGTTGGACTTAACAATTATAGAAAGCTGTTAGCATCTATGAAATAATTTTGTAAAAGTTATCTTAAAAGGCATAAAATGTTGGTTCAAATCATTTAAATGTTCAATAAATGAAGGAGATTTCATGTTCTTGATGTGGAATTTTTATAAAGTCTACTTTAATACTTCATTTTTCGCTTTTGAATATATTTTATTTTAAGGCTACAAATGGCTCTCCATAATTTTTAAGTCCAACTTAGAGCTAAGTTTGACTTAGGATCTTTGTGAAACACCCCCCTGTACTCTATGTACACTCAAGATTCAACTCACCTGCAGATCACAGAAGGACTTCCTGGAGATGAAGTTGACAGTTATAGGGAAGAAATCATCAGGTTGTCCGGCGATGGCAAACTCCATGCTACCGGTCTTGTTGCTCGCATCGATCAATTGTAGGCTCCACTCGAGCATGTTGTGCCTAGAGTCGTGCTTGTAGTTGCCGTCCGCTTCACTGACTTTGGGGGCGCCAACACCAGATCTATTGTTTTGGTAACAACAAAAAAAAGGTAAAATATACAGAGTACGAAGAATGACTACATTAAGGGGATCTGAGAGTAATAACAATTGGAATGCCCCCACACTGAGACAACCACTTAACTAAATAACTAAGAGATATAGAAGCTACAACCACCCCCCCCCCCCTCCCCGTTCCTCCAGTGGTTGTATATAAACATATTTGCAATAATTATATTAAGGGTGAATATATGATTGAACAATTCTGGGGAAGTTTAGATTTTTGAAGTTTTGTAGGACATGGGAAATTGTACGGGACCTCACAAGATACGTCACATACTTGAGACGTATTTGTGTTTTATTGATTGCACCTTCAAAAATTCATAACTTTCTTATTCTTCATCGGTTTTTGTTCAAACTTTCACTAACCTGTTTCTCTCATTTTGTGTGCTTCAATTAAAACAAGCTTAATACCAGAGTGGACTATCCTTTTAAAGCCCCAGTGTACTATTTATAGCTACTTGCGCCCTCTATATATCAAACAATGCCTAAGCGGTGACCGTTGCACCCCATGGCCCCCTGTTTTCTTATGTTGAGAGCTGAGTTGATGAGATAATCACCTGTCAGTGACCATTCAGGGAGGTCTAATCCCCCCTGGCCAAACTAGTGCAGATAGGCTCTAAGATAAACCACTTTCGTAAATTTGGTCCAAATTGTCTACTTACGGCAAGGGGATGTTAATGACCACATCTTGAAGCTCCATGTGCTCCTGTAGAAGCTCGTATTCTATGTTTACATCACAGCCGCCCTCATTGTTGGGCGATGGCCAGCAATTGACTGTAGAAGAAAAGAAGGTGACAAGTGACAGATTAATTTAGATTAATTTAGGTCAGTATGAAGAGTCAATTTAGGCATTTCTTCCTAGAATACATTTTACAGAGCTCACTAAGAAAACAAAGAAAACAAATAAACACACACATATTAAATCTCAAATTCAACACACATCGATAATCCCGTTGCCTGAAACCTTCCAGTAAATCTTTAGAAAAGAGTACTATGACGCATCTAAATTAAACTACCTGTGTGAAAGTTTAAGTGTTATTGAAGTTTGGGACAACTTCTTTAAAGCAAGCTGCTAATTTTTTGAGATCACCAAAGGATGCAATTTTAGTAATCAGTGTTGCAGATATCAGAAGCAACCAGGTGACAGACGGCTTAAAGTCCTTTCCCAAAGACTTAATAATAAGGATTAATGTCTTATTAAAGAGCAGCAGTGAAGCTGCCACCAGTTCCCCGAGAGAGTGCCGTCAGTAACTAGCAAGAGCTACTGGTACTTAACCACTTTTGCAAGCAGCCTTCATGATTTTGTTATTTAAAAGTGCAGGTGGTATTGGCGCTTCGCGAAAGACATCTACTACTAAAGAGCAGTAGTGAATGACTTGGTTTTGAACCCAGAACCTCCGGTAACGAAACCACTAAGCCATCTCTTATTGATGATTTAAATAAATGTGAAGAATACTCACTTAATAAGGGGATCAAGGTCTCATCTGTCGATTGAAACCTCCATTTGAGGACACCGACATCATTGTTGACTGGGAAAGGTCTGTCTGGATTCTTCATGCCGATGCAAGACTGAGATGCAAATAACTTCTTGTCCACGTTGGGATGCGTCTGTAATGAAAACACAGTGGAAACGTGTTATAGCGAGGTCCTCGGGACCAAGAAAAATATGTTGATATATCAGAAATCTTGTTGTATCGGGGTAAAAAAAACAAAAGAATATAAAGAGCTGGGACCAACAAAACCACCTCGTTATAACAGATTAAGTTGATTTATTCATTTATCTATAACATACTGTAATTTTGTACTGAATAATATTGTGCAATTGTGGTGCTCTCGTCCCTGCTTTTATTTTGTGTAAGGACATTGCTTCACTTAATGGCTGCTGGGACAACAGCACCACAGCGCCTAGAAACAATGTATTAGGCTCGTTAAAAATGTGATCTATTATACCTTGTTATATCAGAGCTCTTCATACTGAGGTTTCACTGTAATATTGATTAAACATTTTTTATATAGCTCATAACACATTGGGATAATTGTGCGTCTTTATGCGCTGTACAGAATAAAATAAAGAAGGAGTGAAAATGGTGCACTGGGTTGAAAATTGTGAGTTTTTACAAAGTGCTTAATAAATATTCTGTTCAAATTACTTCTGAACTTGTCGTACACGTAGTAGGAAAAGGGGGTAAATGGAAAATCATCAGACAGAAAAAGTCTGGAAAGAAGACCGATTGTGACATTTGACCTAGAGAATATAACCTGGTTTTAGTAAAAATGAAATCTTGAGTTGTCTCATGCCTGATAGTCAACAGTACAAAGAGAGAGGGCTGAGTATTGGTAAGATTTGAAAGAAAAAAAGAAAAAAAAAATTGGGGTGGGGGGGGGGGGGGGGGGTGAGGTGGTGTGGAATTTGTATAAACATGTGTGAGAGCATGTCACAGCAGCAATATCACATGAATACGATTGAAATGTTGTCATATTCCAAATATGACTAGAAAGAGAGTAAAACTCAAAATGCTTGTGTGGTCCCACATATCCAGATCTGTGTGCAGTGATTTCTCTGCTTGTGATTGGCCACAAGATTTGGCTTCTTGATACCATTGTGAAGATTCCTAAACTGCACAATACACAATTAAATAATATGATCAACCATTCCCATAGCTTGTAAACAGTTCCTTTCACCCCGCAATTGCATCGATTTTTAAAACAAGAATTTATATAATACCTGTAATTGAGCTCCCTTGTCGTCATTATTCACGATGCCGATCTTGATCTTTCCGTACTTTTGGTCTGTGATACGTAGTGTGATCATACCGTGGACGTCTAGAGCTTGAAGACCGCCATCTCTACCTGTCGAGACGGTCATCTTCTCTTCAACTCGCAAGTGAATTCTGAAGAGAACCAAGAGAAATATGGACTACTGTAAGAACTAAATACATGGTGATTAATATTTTTATCCACCATGGCATCGAATCGGCTTGAATGGAAGCAGAAAATCAGAGAGAAAAAAAAGAAATGGTGAAAGTTTGAGGAAAATCTGAAAACAAGTCAAGAATTTGAGGTTTTAAAGTTGACATCTATCAAACAAGAATTCGAAACTTTGTCCTTACCGTCGCATGCACGTTGTATACAAAATCAGCTTGTAAATGTTAAGCCTTGATAACAGACAATGCAGAACTACCCCCCCCCCCCCCACAACAACAAATTAGAAAATATTGCAGTTGCAAAATAGAAACACATAGAGCATAGTGTACTTCACATTTCTGTATCTCACAACACACAAATAACCTCTCCATGCCTATCTGACTTTCATTTTTGTTTTGCTGTAGCACTACTTTGTTACAGTTTAGCTTATCATGCCCCTTGTCAAGGGGGCACGCTACAAGAGTCCTATCTCGCACCCCGGGGCAACGTGTCTGACACGGCCGGTTGTAGCAACTACTCCGAAGATCAAGATTACATTAATCTTGATCTAAGGAGACACGAACGAACGAAGCTCATCATGTATGATGAAGACTTTGCTTTAGTGAGCCATGAGAAAACAAAAGAATAAAGCTACCTATGTGATAACCTGTATAAAAACATCAGGCATGGTACATACCCTTCTGTTTTGCTGGCCGGTGTGACAGTTTTGGCGACATTTGAAGACTGTCTACTCTTGGAAACGTTTGACGTGACTTCCTCCCCTTCTAATCTGAGTTTATCCACAAAGATATCTGTGCTCTTGGTTGACTTGCCCAGCTTCATGGCCTTGCCTGTGGCTGATGATCTGTGTGGACGGAAAAGAGAATTGCCAAATAAAGCACCAGGGGAGCATTTCACAAAACTTGTCATCGGTGACAAATGACTTTTTTTTTTTAACAAGCTACTGAAATCCTTGCTTCTGATTGGTCATCAGCAGATTTGTCACTGATTTTTGTCATTTGTCATTGAAAAAAGGGCTTCGTGAAACGGGTCCTAGGTCATTACTAATCGGAGGGCTGAATAGACCATCGTGGTCACTCAACATCAAAATGTGTACACCGGACTGTCAATTCTGCCCAAAAGGACAATTGATCTAATGTGAGCCATAAGATATAGTGGAAGGGATTGAGTTATGAATGGGCTTTAGGTTACATTTATGGTAAGGTTTGTGTTGGTTCAAGCTTTGAATTTAAAATTCAACTACTGTTCGAATTTGAAAGCAGACATATTGTCCCTGAAACAAAGTAATACCTCTATTTCTGGTGGTTAATGAACTCACTTGATAGGTTTTGACGATTCCATAGGTTTCTCTGGTGTGACTATCGACATCGAGCTTGACATCGACGACATACCCGATGAGCTGGATGAACCGTAGCCCCCGCCGCCCCCTCCTCCGCTTCCGCTGCCATAACCTCTCTTGCCCGACCTCATGGCTTCTTGCCTCTGCTTGGCTAGCTCCCTGGCTCGTTGTTGCATTTTCTGCTTGGCTTCTTTCTCTTGAGACTGCAGAAAGAGAAGAGGAAAAATAGTTTAATAGTATTATTACTAATAACAACAACAACAAATCTGTATAATACAGTCTCTACTAAGCGCTTTCCAGGATAAATTATTATTACTCAGGTCATCAGAATCATTCATGCACAGTGTCCGCCATCTCCACTCCCTGGGGAGTATTCCCACCATTTGGTCACCATGACGTCATATAGCAATTACTATCGCAATGGGTTCCGTCTTCCTGCAAGGCCCCTATTTCTCTCTTGGGTATGGAATGGCAAATCTTCCATTAAAAAATGGTCTAGCAACACCCCTTTGTGACAGCTACTCACCTCTCTGACCGCTTGGTATACTTTCTCTTCATGCGAGTCCATCTCTGTGAAGGTGCGGATCTGGGCCAGGTTCACGCTCTCCCTGTAGCCGAGGGCAACGATCTCGTCAAAGGCAAAAATGAGTTCAAAGGAGTGATCAAGGATTTCACTTTCTTCCATCGCTCTGCAATACTCTGGGATCTGGAGAGGAAACGGGAAGAAAAAAGGAAAGTTGTAACTGAATAACAGCCCAGAAAACTTAAAATGAAAAGCATTTCTTAATTGAATTTAACCCCCCAACTGGGCAAGCACAAATAGTATCAAACTTTTCCAATAAATATTCTAATACTAGTGCTGTCATGAAACGTTTTAACCTGCCCGAGAGGTGCACATATCTTTATCATTTATTGGTTTATTTTACTTGAAACAATAAAATATATGAGCATGGGGGGCTGAAGTTTAAAATATTGCAGACCTGTGAAGAAAATGGGCTATATCTTGGGAGTTTGAAGTTTAAAATATTGCAGACTTGTGAAGAAAATGATCATTGTTTTCATCAGTGGCCATTGCAAGCCTGTGACTAATTTTTATTTTTCAGCTTGTAAACCATAAAAAAAGAATAAACATTCTAGTACAGTGATCAAACTTATTCAAGGGATTTTTCAGATGATATCTCACATTTGCAATTTTGCATAATAGCATTATTATAGGTGTCATGGTCGAGTGGGTACATCGCCGGACTGTCGATCACTAGGTCCACGTTTCGAGTCCCGCCGCAGCACAAAAGATCTAGTGCAAGACATTGATCTATATTTGCCACACTCAACCCAGGTGATGTAAATGGGTACCTGGCAAGAATTAATTCCTTGAAATGCTAGAGCGCTGTAATGGCAGCACAGTAATAATATCCAAAGTTTGGAAGCGCTTAGAGACTCAAATATGGTTTGTGCTATATAAAAGCTGAGAATAATTATTATTAATATTATTACAGAAAAGAACTTTGAACTCACCACACGGGAAAATAACCTCAGGGTCTCCAGGTCTTCAAGGATGTTACTTGTCTTTGTGGTGATGAGAAGCATGTACAGCTTCTCCAGGGGTTGGTACACGTACCTCACGCTCTCCGTCTCCACGAATGTGTGCTGCTTGCCCGTGTTCATCAGCTTGGGGAACGCGGCCAGGAGCCCCTCGATGCGGGATCTCGTCATCTCCACAAACTGGCGGGAGACAAGAGCCTTCCCGCTCTTGGTGCAAATGGCGGCTGCTAACAGCACCTACAGAAAGGAAAGAGGTTTTTTAAGAAGAAGGAGAAATATATATAATATATACACGCATCTCATGTGAATGTTATACGTACATTTGAATTAAAAAAAACTTTGTTATAGTATTCAGCAATAATGGTCATAAACTGACCGACTTGCCTAAATTAAACAACAGCAACAGAGAGAGAGAGAGAGAGAGAGAGAAAGAGAAAAAGAGAAAGAGAAAAAGACAGAGAAAGAGAAAGAGAGAGTGTGAGTGGGAGAGAGAGAGCGAGTGGAAGAGAGCGAGAGAGATAGAGAGACAAGAGACAGAGGCAGTAGTAAAAAGGGAGAGCAAAATGAAGGTTAAACTTTTTTTAAAGCTATACAAAAACTTGGACTTCAACCCTTAAACCTAATCACTGCATAATGGAATGCTGAGTTTGAGTTAGGGCAGAGTTGTATCCCAAAACCAAGAAAAAGAAGGAGAGCTTCTGGCACAGAGAGCTCATACTCAGCTTCACTTAGAGAGAACCAATCCAGCACATTACAGTACCTCAAGAACCTGCATTTATCTGTTCAGACTTTAGAGTTAACTAAATTCACCCAATGTTACTTCCGTAGCATTAGTGTAAACATAGACTTCTATGTGTACAAAGATGTTTTTTAATATTTTCTCTCAAATTAAATACATATTGTACAAATCATTCATCAAAATTGCATATAACTAGACTAGATCTACATATTCTTGGTAACAAAATTGGATGCACTGTACATTAAATTTGCAATTATAAAAGGAAAACAAGTAGTCTAGATCTAGATCTACATTTTCATAGACAGTAGGGGCGCTGGTCTGAGAATAAGGATCGTCCTCAAAGATAGCTTGATAAACGCAGACAAATGTTGTTCTAAAAAACGAGGATCATCCTTTTTTTTTATAGGCGCTCTGCTGGTTTTGGGTTTCCGAACCGCACGCCGACGATCGAAAAACGAATTTTGCGAATTAAACTAACCCCAGTTCACTCATCACTGTCTACTGTAACGGGTTGTCCGTCTTCCCGAGGATTTATCGCTCGTACTGTCACAGTCATAACGTGAAAGTCTCTGCACAAAAGTCAATGTGAAATGCTTAAAGAAATGCATAAAAAAAAGCATCGCGAAATCCGGTTTTTGCATCGCCAACGCGGGGATCGGAAATAAGAATCGTCCACATTCGTGAAAATGCAGACGATCCTCCTCATTCTCAGACCAGTCCCCCTAGACTAGATCTACTGATAGTCTGATTATTCTATAATCTATGTATCAGCTCAAGGATTTACTTACAAGAAGTTTGCAAGAACTAGGTTAGTTTTAACATATAAGGCCACTGCAATGCCAATGCCAATGGCAATGTACAACTCTGTGACTGTGTAGTGATATTGACAAAATGACAGAGTGACAGAATCATTAAAAAAAACTCGAATGGAGTCATCTTTATTATATTTAAAATATACATTTTAATAATTCATCACACTTTTCTGATTGCTACTAATGATAAGTTAGCTAAAATTGTCATACCATCTTCTTAATATGTATCCTTGTCGAATAAAACAGCAATTTCACTGTCCTAAGCGCAAATCTTGTCCAGTTAGCTACACGTATTCATGGGGCCACGTACGGTGATGTGGAGATTGAGACGGATCACGCCTTGGGCGGAAGAATATGAGAAATCGTTACACTTCTTTCTTGATCTACAGAACACAAATCGGTTCGTGTGAACAAAATATACTCTTTTCTAATTTTATATAAGTACTTAAGGTAATGATTACGTGTATGAGTGTTATTATATCATATATTGGACAATATATAGAACTATATTTTTTCCTTAAAACTATATAACGTAAAGCAATCAGATACAACTTCCGGGTCGGAGGTCAGTGCACGTGTGACAATATTTTGAGAAAGGCAAAAATCGCTATCAGATTATGCCCAAATTGTAACAGTTATACAGAAAAAGTCGCTTTATACAGCTCAGTACCGTTGCGAGTGATTTGGATCTTTCCTATCCAGTGTGAAGAATGGCTGATAAGATGGAAATTGTTCGTGTAGGCTCAAGAAAGAGCGAGGTAAATAAGATATTTTTTGTTCAGTCCCACATGTGTAAATTTTTGCTGTTGAAAAATTAGTCCAGATTTATGTGCGTGAAGACACGCCCACTTAGCTTGCCTCAAGGCGCAGGCATGGCACGTAGTTCGCTGAAATGAGCGAACCGCCTGCGACATTTTTAAACCTAACCTAGCCAATGCTATCCTATGCTGCATATTAATGTTTGAGAATATTTGCGTTAGTAGATCTACGGCGTAACGGTGTGGTCACAGTGGTGGCCCTAGAGACCCTAGAGTCTACCGCCGATTTTTTGGCTGGAGAAAACAAAAAAACAATTTTTTTTTTGCCGGCTCTATAGTATAGGCAGCAAGCCAGGTTTGTGTTAAAAAACCCAAGTGGCGTGGGGAAGGACCTTTATTTTATCATTATTATGCAAATATTTTATTTTTTAATTTCATTGCTTGCTCTTTTTACCTTCTAGTTCTACAGGCCTGATAATAACCTGATTTAGCCGAGAGTAGAGGTCTAGACATCTATATCGGTTTCCTGATTTTGTTTTCTTCCCGATTTTGTTTTATTTACCCAATTTTTTTCCTCCCAATATTTTTCTTCCCGATTTTATCACTATTTTCCTGATTTTCCCCTTATTTTCTTGATTTTTCCCTTTTTTCCCCAATTTTCTTACTCTAAAGGGGAATATTGTTAGATGCCATTTCCCCACCTGAATCCTCTTTCTTTCTTTTTACTCGATGGTTGAGGGAAAAAAGAAAAAAAAACTTCAAAAAATGCTCAGCCTTAACATGAATTTTTGAGTGATTGTGTAGTCAACACATGTTTATTAATTTTGTTTATGGTCAACTTTTTTTCTCTTTCTATCTTTTGTTTTTTAGCTGGCCATGATACAAACCAATCATGTAGTGGAAATGTTGCAGAAAGTTCATCCAGAGACTGAATTCAAGATAGGTGAGTATAACCCTGTAAGTTGGGGCTTTGATCGGATCAGAAGATCGGAGCGACACCTTCGCACCTTTGATTGGTATCGGCAAAAAAAATCAGCGGAATTTTTGTTTTAATTTTTTTTTTTAAGGAATTAAAATGTCAAGTTTTAACGGCTTGCATATATGTTTTGCTTCTTTTCTTAGACCAATATTATTAATATCAAAGTCATGAAAAAGCACTGAATATCAACAAACATGGTCTACAACAACTCTAAATGACAAAATAATCCCTGCTATGCATGTTTTTTTTACCATACATTGATAGCCCAAAATTTTTGGCATTAAAAAAAAAAAAAGGCAGATTTTTATTGATCGACGATCATAATTTATTATCCAATTTCACCTGATCGGCTCAAGATCACCCCCAACATTGGTTACAGGGTTAGGTAAGTATACCTTGCCTTTTCCCCTGAAAGCCAGAAGGGTATTTCCTTATACCACAAAACCAATCACATGACCGGAAACTTTCACAGATTGTTATAAATTGAAAATTTCAGTGCTGAGAACACTGATGAAGGCTCTTGACTCTCACATACAAAGTCCCGGTTGCAATCCTTGCTAGGTGATGACATCCTCAGACAAGGTGTTTTGCCTACATTAGTCACTGACACTCTTGACCTAGGTGTATTCGATGGATACCTGACTTTGCTAGAGTTGCAGGGCCCATAGGTATAGAGCAGCCCTGGGGTAAATTTCTCTTGTCTAATCTGCAAGAAATTAAAATTGATTAAAGCATCTCTAAAGATCAAATAGATGGATATGATAGCTTTATAAATATTGGCATTATTATGGTTATCATGATCATCATCATCATGATTGAACTACTACTACAACTACTGCTACTAATTACGGCTATTGCTACTACTATAATGATGAGGATGATGTTGATAATGATGATAATGGCGATAATAATAATTCATGTAGTAATAGTAGTAGTTGTAATAATAATAATAATAGTAATAATAATAATAATGATAATGTTAATGATAATGATAATAACAATACTAATACTAATACTACTCATACTACTACTACTACTACTACTACTACTACTACTTCTGATTTAAAAAAAAATATATAATAATAATAATAATAATGATAATGATGATGATAATTATACTACTTATACAACAATACTAGTTGACTAGTTGCTAATGACAATGTGGAAAATAATCATAAAACTTATTTTTATGATGATAATGAAAATGACGTTCCTATTTTCTGTCTCAGTTACCATGGAGACGATAGGAGATCACATCCAGGACAAGCCCCTAGCTTCCATCGGAGAATCCAACCTCTTCACCAAAGAGCTAGAGAAGGCCCTCGCTCTAGATGAAGTCGACATGCTCGTTCATTCCCTCAAGGACATGCCGTCGAGGTTACCCTCCAACATGGCCATAGGAGCCATTTGCGAGTAAGTAAGAAGTGCAGTGAAACCTGTCTATAAAGACCATTCAAGGGAGATGGGAAGAGTGGTCTTTATAGGCAGGTGCTTTGATTATGTACAGGTACATGTTTCATTGGGAGTGTCTTGTTATCAGCTACTCTTTAAATTTCAGAATTGATTTCCTTGTCCAAATTACAGAATTCCCATTTAAAGTATCTATCAATCTTGAGAATTCGACTGTGAAGTTTTAACTTACTTGTACGTCTTACTGTGAAGAATGTCATGTCTTATCACACCTGGGGTGTGTTTCACAAAGATCCTAATTCAAACTAAGTTGGATTTAAACATTAATGGAGAGCCATTTGTAGTCTTAAAATAAAATTATTCAAAAGCAAAAATTCAAGTATTTTAGACTTTTCATAAATTCCACATCAAAAACATGAAATTCTCCTTGATAATAGAAAATATAATGATTTGAATCAAAATGTTATGCCTTTTAAAATAGTCTTTACAAAATATTTTCAAGGATGCTAACGATTTTCCATAATTGTTAAGTCCAACTTAGAGTTAAGTTCTACTTAGGATGTTTGTGAAACACCCCCTGTTTTACTCTCACTTTCTTTCTAGGAGGGAGGATCCACATGATGCTCTAGTTCTTCACAAAAAACTAACAGGAATCAGCATTGAGACAATGAAAGAGGGCAGGTTAGTCTTGGATCATACGCCATGACCAAAAAAATTAACAAAACTTTAGAGGAACACGTTTTCATTATCAACTTTGAAGTTTGAAAGTATATTTGTTCCACATTTACATTTAAAAGTTATTAAGATTCATAGAAGCTGAAGAGTCTCTTACAAAGCTTGGAGGGATGAAACTGGCAAAGGAAACTGTAAAAATGTGTGGAACATAAATAAAAAGCAGACTTTGTACATGAATTTAGAAATTAACACTCTCTTCCTTCAGTTATTTAAAGCCCTACTCCCCTAATTACTTGTTGCAAGTGGGTTTCAACCCAGTTATATAGATTGACCCCTGTGCAGCCAATAACAAAATACTGTCCCTTAAGTATGGTATGAAACCCAAAAGGGAAAATTCTCTAGAAATGCATCCACATGTACAATTCTTTTAATAATTGAAAAAAATATCAAGTTTTATTTTGACTGGCACTCTATCTCATATTTATTCCTATGCTTTTCCATCCATTTCATTTCCACTTTTTTCCCATTCCACTCCTTTTTATTCTTTGTTTTTTTGTTCTACTTTAATTTTTTTCAGCGTGCTAGGAACAAGCTCCGTCCGGAGAGTAGCCCAGCTGAAGAGAAAATTCCCCCATCTTGTCTTCAAAGATGTTGTATCCTTTAAACCAGAAATGAATTTGTTGTTTTATCACTGTATTTATTATCCAACAATAAAGGAACAGAGATTTAAACACATTTTGACACTGACAGCAGAAAATACACAGAAAAGGGAACACAAGAAGAGCGCAGTGTCCCGTTTTACAAATAGTTGATATCAATCACAACTTATTTGCGATTTATACCAATTGCAAGTATGTACATGTACATAAGAGATAGGAGACTGCAAACTTGCGATTGATTGGAGGACTTGCGATTGATTTGGATCAATCGCAACTCTTTGTAAGACAGGGCCCAGGACTCCACCACATGAATTCTGTGTTTACTATAAAATCAAAAACCTGGACTGCTGCCTTGTTTTGAACTTTGGAGTTTATGGTACACATCTCTATAACATGGACATTTTGTTCCACTACTTGAAGCCAGTATGCAGGATAGTTGATAATCAATTTGGTAATTATGCAAATTGTATGTATAAATTACATAATTTGTTTTAAAAATGTTAAAGATATAATTCCTCGGTATGGTACATTCATGTAAATGGGGGACAATTTGAATTTAGATTTAAAATGCCCCATTTGAATGTTGTTTGATCAAGCCAAAATGTTCATAATTTTCCTTCTTTTTTCTTTAGTTTGCCATCCATCCTATTTGATTTCATAAGTTTTGTTCAACTGTTTTGTATATACAGTAAAACCTACTTTAGTGACCACCTGTCCACAAAGACCACATTTTTTGTTTCCCTTGAAAAAGGTTTCTCATTGAAACATGTACTAAAGGAACCTGTCTTCAAAGACCACTTTTTGTGTTTCCCTTGGGCGGTCGCTATAGACAGGTCTGACTGTATAATAAGAAAATACTTACATGTATGTGAAAAATTAATACACAAATGCTTGAATTCGAAATCCTTAACCACTTATTGAACAGAGAGGTAATTTGAACACCAGGCTGAGGAAGCTGGATGAAGGCCAGGTCTACGATGGATTGGTTCTGGCTGTGGCTGGTATGATGAGGATGGGATGGGAACACAGAATAAGTCAGGTATGAACTGACCACAGTTTGTGAATTAAAGAAAAAAATGCACATTTGACATCAATTTATAACAGTATATTTTTCAAAATGAACAAATCTTTGTTTGTAATTTGGTACGTGCCCTTGTGTGAAAAGGAAAGAGAATTTCATTTTGACTGATTTGCAAATTGTAATAATGCCGGACAGACATGAAGTTTGATTCCACACTTTTTTTACCAAAATAATGAATAAATATTTGATCATTCTGAAAAGATACATGTTTTATTCAGGGACTCAGTGTAATGTGCATACACCACATGACTCTTATCTATATTTAAACCTGACCTAAGGGTCAATATGCAATTGTTAATTATTCTTCAGTGTAATAGCAAGGAGCACATAGAGCACATTTAATTTTAATAAAATCTTATTAATGGAAAACTTAGACTTCAGCCCAACTTCCTTGTTAAATCCGATTTGGAACAAAAGCTTAAACCCAATTTCTAGTTTAAATTATAGAATAAGGGCCAGCGTATAGTGTTCATCGCCATGGGGAACATTTATGTCGACAGTCCGTACATCCTTGATTATAAGTATTGTTTTCAATTTGCTCAGATTCTAAAGCCAGACATCTGCAAGTACTCCGTTAGCCAGGGGGCACTCGGCATCGAGATAAAGACAAAGAATCGAAGGATGCATGAACTACTAAGACAACTCAACCACGTTCCGACCCTGATCCGGTGCATAGCAGAGAGGGGGCTGTTGAAGACTCTAGAGGGCGGGTGTAGTGCGCCTGTTGCTGTCCATTCAGAACTAGAGGAAAATAGGGTAAACATTTATTTCTTTCATTTTATTTGATGTTGTATATATTGTGCAATTACTAACAATAGAGAGATGAGTTGGTCAAGCGGCACGTTCATTTGGTCAGCCTACAACTGGCTCTGGCGACCCCGGTTCAAAACTGAGTCACGTCTTTCAGATGGTGACGTTAAAGGTCGGTCCACAGACATAAATAATCATATTTGATTGATACACGTCTGTAAAAACCCAATTTCACACACAATAGCCAGTTCAGGTATCAACCGATTATTTACACCAGCAGTACTTGTAAGGAGAGTCCCAAATAAGCCAATCTAATTGGTTTGCTGCTGCTCAGATGATGTTATGTATCACTAATCTATCAACAAACAAAACTAACTATATATTTCTAACACATGTAACATAAGACATTTGTGGAATACACAAGGGGATAGTATGGATAGTATATTTGAGAAAGCCGACCTAAAACAAAAAATCTGTCACAAAATTGTTAATCCTAAGGTCTCTATGGAGTAACCTTTAATCATTGATTGTATATTGACTTTAATAGCGAATAATTCCATAATGCAGAAAAGGCATGTTATTATTGCCTTAAAGATGCACAGTAGTGGTCTCTCATGGGGAAATTGACACCATTTGTTTGTTTACACAATAACAGGCGTAGTCAATCACCAGGATTAGCCCTCATTCTTTTACGACCAACAGGCCTTATGTAAGGCTCTGCATTCCCACCAATCGCCCCATATGGAAAAGTCATTATCTCACATTTCCCTCACCCAAAGACTCTCCTGAGAGGCTAGGGGGTATATCTTGATGGGACCACAGGTTTGCTGTGTGCAAGACTTGTACACCCATGGATGGTATTTACACCAAGTCTGGTGTCAGCAAATTATGACCTACTGCACAAGGAAACTGACTATCATCTCCCTTTGAGGTCTATAACATTGAGATAGTTTCAAGTTGAAACTGTTTGATCTAATAAAATTCTCTTATTGCTTCTTTTCTCATATGATGATAATAATACATAAGATTTATAAGGTGCCAAATCCACTTGACAGTCAAATGCTCATGGCGCAGCTTGTGCAAAAGATGAAATACATGATACATTTATACAAAGTGCAATAGGAAAGGTACAGACATGAAAGGTTATGGTAATCAATTATAAGCTAAATGAAACAGATATTTCTTAAGATTGTTTTTTAACACTTCATGATGTTTTTTGTTATAGCTGACACTGAACGCATCAGTACTAAGTCTGGATGGATCAGAATTACGAGAGGAAGAGAAATCAATCACACTCCCTCAGGAATTAACGCAAGAGGTAATTATAGACAAATAGCCAAACTGTAAAGCCTGTCTGCACTAGTTTGGCCAGGAGGGATTATACCTCCCTTCATGGTCACCAACAAATCAGCTCTCACTTTAATAACATAAGAAAAAAAGGGATCATGGGGGACCAACGGGTATACCATTTAGGCATTGTTTGCCCTATAGAGGGCGCAAGCAGCTACAAGTAGTGCAGTTTGAAAAAGAAGGTTTAGTTCTGGTAAAGGGCGCAACAAAATTATTAGATGAGCTTTCTCATTCTTTTACGTCTGTTTGGAGAATTATCACAGAAAATGCTCCCTGAAATTGATTCCTCTTCAAATGACACCAGACACATAAGTTTGTTGTCCCACATACTCATTTATATGTGCAGTGCATGTGACTGTCAGCAAGACAGAGACATTTTCCTCTCATTTTGGTGATTCCAAATCCTCTTTAAATAGTATACAACAATTTTTGTATACTGCATAATAATAATAAACCTTTTCAAGTTTCTTACAGTCAGTTTATTTCACAATGTACTTGCATGTCCAGGGCCCCATAACACAAAGCTTGGTAATTGATTGATGTGCAATCAATCACAAAAATTAAACGTACAACAGTGGCTACGCTTTGTGTTACAGGGCATAGAACTAAACTTTATCTATAAGTTTTTCTCTGATTATAGTTTCTTTCTTAGCATATGAGGAGAATTTTACTAGTTCAGCTATCCAACCATTCTTTATTTCTATTTACTTGAAAATACAATTGGTGCCAGGGGATTAATGCATGCAACGAATAAAAGTAAAGAATTCTTATCATGAACAAAATATCTGTTATTTTCTTCCCATAGCATTCCCTCGACGCAGAAACCAATGAAGAAATGAAGCTCTTCTCCAGTGTTATAGCACCATGGGTATCCCAGCATGCAATGCAGGAAGCAGAGGCTCTCGGTGTCAGCGTTGCCAAAGGTCTTTTTGACAAAGGAGCGGGACCAATCTTAGAAGCAGCTAAGGAGGAGATAGCGGAAAGGAGAAAGTGAAATTGCATCATTCCTTGAATCTACCTACAGAGTTCCAATGACTCACCTTGATGTGTGGAATCAATTGAACTACCCTGGACAAGAATTTCTAAAGAGAAAATTGATCATTATATCTTCCTTAAAATGGCAACAGTAATATTGTACATTTATCGCCACAGTTTTTCAAGAAAAACTTGTGTATTTGGAATGCTTATATGTTGACAAGTTAAGAAATTGTCAATTTGTATAGAAACACAATGGCCCAAATTCACAAAAGAGGTTTGTCGACAAACCTAGGTTTATGTACGTCATATGATGCGTTTTTTTACAAACCTGGTTTGTAAAAACGCGTCAAAACGCGTCATATGACGCACAAAAACCTAGGTGTGTCGACAAACTTCCTTTGAGAATTTGGGCCAAAGATTTTTAGCTTTTCAACAGGTTGCTAATTCAGGTATTTTATTGTTCAATTTGTATACTGTACAAGTTATCGGTGTCAAAAACCTTATAGTCATTAAAGAACATTGTTGAGAGCAGATATGTTTGCTTTTGAGGGCTCTGCTTAAAGCGCCACTGCAATGCCTAATCGGTGAGCATTGGTCCCCCATGATCCCCTTTTTCTTATGTTAATTGAGAACTGATTTAATGAGATAACCACCTGTCAGTGGCAATGCAGGGAGGTCTAATCCCTCCTTTCCAAACTAGTGCAATGGGGCTTTAATGTATCTTGTGTACTTATCAATATGATTGGACAGATTAATACATACGGTACATGGGTGTGTAGCATGTCTACAAGGTCCCTGTATGCTCTTCTTATGCCCTAGATATAGACATAAAATTGTAGTTCAGTCAAACCTGTCTACAGCTACCTCCCAAGGGAAACACAAAAGTGGTCTTTGTAGACAGGTTCTTTTAGTACATTTTTCAATGAGAAACCATTTCCAAAGGAAACCAGAATGAAAAAGAATTTTGAAGAAAAAAATTGTGGTCTTTGTAGACAGGTGGTCACTAAATCAGGTTTGACTGTATTTATATGCCAAAGAGATCTATCTTTCATGCGATGTAATTACGATGCTGCCAATTTAAAGAGGTTGAGTCAGTAGTTTAGGACGTAAAGGCACAAGATTAACTAGAGTAAAAGTTCCTTCATCCTTGGTAAAGTAAGAGAGCTAGTGCCTGGTGATCTACGGAAAAAAATGTGTTGGGGCTCATCAAACTTTGGACTATGAATGTATAGTAATGTGTTCTTTAAAAGAATAAATTATACTTAAGAAAAAGACTTGTAGGTTTAAAAATTGATCTTAGTCTTTGTGAAACACTCCCCTGGACCATCAGTGCCTTATTTTATGCCTAGTAGTGCAATAATTTGTGACCAAAACATTTATGACAATCTTATGGACGAAAAGAATTTGTGTGAAAATATCAAGCAATATATTGTTTGGAATGATCATGAACATCTATGAAAATTGATTGCGAGGCCTCAGTCACTCCGAGGACATACCAAACAAAATATTACATTACTTAGCCCGATTGCCCAAGAATCAGTAGGTTTGGAGTCTGTTTGGCGTTGTGACTAAGGTATACATGATTTGTATTAAAGTTGGTTATTTTTACAAATTCAGTACTATTCCTGATTGTGTAAAAAGCAACTTTATAGGAGTAAGACTTGTAAATTGGTAGGGAGAAATTTCTTGACGGAATGAGTACTTATGATGATAGTTTATAACAATATCATAGTGTACTTTATATTAAAGTGAAATGGGTACATTTTATATTATACAACTCACTCCCAGATCCTAATCAAATGATTGGTCATGTGCGGTCACGTGTGATTCATTTACTGAGCCTATTGCACTCGTTTTCATGAAAAGGAGTGCAATATTTTCCAGTACTATTGAACTTGTTATCAGAGTGCAGTAGTGCGTGTAGAGGTTAGAGCGCTTAATACTGCGTGTGAATGCTGGGCCTATTCTTGCGCAGCATTATGCGTAAATGGGTGCAGAGGTAAGTGCGCTTGCTATATATCTATACTTATGTGTGCGCACTAAATTGAGACTTATTAAAACTTTATTTATTTGTCAGCCATATATTATGTCACGAAACAATCTTGAATTAATTCTTTTTACATAAAAAAACAAGGATCTAGGAGTTTCGTCGTATAAAACAAATGATGCATGTTTTCATTTGTTTATTATACGATCTATCCACCCTCGTTGATGCTGTGTGTATCTATCGCACTCAGCCTAACGGCTTCGTGCGATAGATACACACAGCCTCAACTCCAGTTCGGATAGATCGTATAATGAACTCATGCGCATCATTTGTATACTATCTATGTCTATGCCTTATGAATGCATGTGGTATTAGTATTATGTATGGTACATACAATTACATGTAATGGATGTTCATGTTGTCCACTTTTGTGATCAGGCTGAATTTTCTTTAACTCTCTGTACATTTCATACCGCCAAGATTGTTTTGCTCTTTAAAATATCAATTGACCTTTTCTCACAATACATGTGCTAGTGCACACAAAATGTTTAAACTGAATTAAAAATTACTCCAATGAAGATTTTATACATGATAAACTGGAAGTGGAACTGTGCCGTTTTGCTTTATTTAGCTTAATTTTTTCCCTCTCCCTCTCTCTCTCTCTCTCTCTCTCTCTCTCTCTCTCTCTTTGTTGATGCTTTCGTTCTGTCTCTCTCTTTCTCTGTTGATTCCCTGTCGATTCTCATGTTTTTCTCTCCTCTCTCTCTTCTTTCATTTTCTCTGAAATATTAATACAAGATTAATACAAGATTAAAGCTAGTCAAAAATGAAAATTATAAATCAATGGTCATTTACTGTAAATCTAGTAACCTGTACATATATATATATATACAAGTACATGTGAAAAATATGATACCGGTACAGATAAATGCAAATATACTTTCACATGTTTTATGAAATTTTGCATGAATTGCCTTATCTACTATATATGATGTACACTGTCGCTCATATAGTTGGAATTTTTTGTTTTACCCCAATTTATGGAATTATTTTGACAATGATTTATTCCTAATAGATCTATACTGATAAGGCCCCCCAAAAAAATCATTTGGTTGTCCTCGACCGCCCGCTCGTCATTTTCGGGCCGCTCGCATTTTTTTTTTTTTTTTTTAATATTTTTTAAAAAAATTATTTCAATTTTTTTATTATTTTAAATTCAATTTTTTATTTTTTTTATTTTTATTTTTTTAATGTAATTTTTTGGGGGGAGCAATCTTAAATGCCAAACATACCATTTTATGCATTTGCAACGATCAAAATGCGTCCCGTTGCCAGTTTTGTCTTTTCAGTACGCAATTAGGTATTTATTAAACTTGCCATTTTTATTTTTCTATGTCAAAATGCCGTTCATTCAAATCAGGTTCTGAGCATTCTTAAACTCATTTTAAAGCCCATCTGTACTAGTTTACAGGAGGGATTAGACCACCCTGCAAGGTCACTGGACATGTGGTTATCTCATCAAATCAGCTCTCAGTTAATATAAGATAAAGAGGATCATGGGAGACCAATGGTCACCGATTAGGCATTGTTTGCTACATAGAGGGCGCAAGTAGCTATAAGTAGTACAATGGAGATTTAAAAGGTGCTGTATTTCAAAGCCCAAAGTACTTTCTGTGTTGGTCTTGATATCCCTTGTACATTAAACTAGTCTTTTACCATATTAAGGTGTTTTATAGACTTTGTTTGTTTAAATGCTTGACAATCCCAATGATTTTTTTTTTATGGAAAAAAAAAAAAAAAAAAGGGAAAAAATGGGGGGGAAAAAAAAAAAAAAAATAGACACACAAAAAATGAAGTTAAAAAAAAAAAAAAAAATCCGCCCGCCCGCCCCTACTCCAGAAAAGCAATCGAGGACAACCAAACAATTTATTTTGTTTGGCCTAATAGTATACATTCTCAGATTTTATTGAATAATAATTTGCCAATGTTTGTTTATTGCGTGACTGCTAAAGCATGTGTATGCTATGCTTATCAACTAGGGGACCTACGCCCTTAAGTCATACATGACAGTAATGAGGATTAATGCCCAACAAAAGGGCACTAATATATATCATCAATACGGTTTTGATCCTAGGGCCTCAGTTACGAGGCCATTGCTTTGCCACTGAACCATGACTGTACGCAGCGGGGGCTAGGGCAGGGGGCAGTTCCCACAAATAAAAAACAAAGAAAATGCAATAAATTATCAATAATTCATTGAACTTCCTCTCGGTCCCCAACAGAAAAAAATCTTCTGTGTGCGCATGCCTTGAGCCATAATGCATGGCCGTACAGAGGATTTTTTTGTTGTTGATAATTGCCCTATTTAAATCTGAGAGGTGCCTCTTTTACTGTGACAAGTGCCCCTTTTCCTTTGTAAGAAGTAACCCTTCCCCTTTTAATGACTACCTCCATTTCAACTCGGATAAGCGCACCTTATATTTTCACATGTGCCCCGTTTCATCTCTGGTAAATTACCCTCTTCAGGTACGAGAAGTTACTCCTTTTCACTTCAGATAAGTGCCCCTTCATCTCCGATAAATGCCCTTTTAAAATCTGATCGGTGCCCATTTTCAGGTGCAATAAGTGCCCCTTTTCACCTCTGATAATGTCCCTTTTAACAATAATACGTGCACCTTTTCCTTTCTAATTAGGTCCCTATCCCCTTTTTATAAATGCCCTTTTCACCTCTTATAAATGCCCCTACAACAAATGCACATTTTCCTTTATTATAAGTGCCCCTTATCGTTGCCCATTTTCAGATGCGATAAGTGCCTCTTTTCATCTCTGATAATTTCCCTTTTAACCATCATACGTGCCCCTTTTCATTTCTAATAAGGGACCTATCCTCTTTTCATAAATGTCCTTTTCACCTCTTATAAATGCCCCTATCAAAATCTGTTGGGGGCCCCTTTTCCGTCGACAAATGCCCATTTCCTAATTTTCTCATGACTGATTTTTTTTCTTCATCCCTGGTGAAGGTGTAAGAAGTGCCCCATTTTCACCTCTGATAATTATTTATTGTACTTAGACACATGCTCCTT